CCTTTAACTCAGTCTAATGTGAAGACTAGAGTAACTTCACTCCTGCCTTGTTTGCCTGAAGTGAAATGGGTTGAACTTAGACTGGTATTTATAAAGGAACTAGATATGGTAGTTCATGACTGAAATGAGAATGTACCAACTGAAGGTAGTAAGAATTGAAATGAAATCAAGGTCTTAAATTTTGCTGCCTGCAGTGAGTGTATCCATTGGAGGGCAGAGACTGTACATTTGAGCCTAATTAGGCATTCCATGGAAGGAAGGGTGTGCCAGCCATATGTATCTAGTAGTCCATGCTACTGTATGTGACTGCATAATTGTCATCAATGAAGTTGTGTGGTCTAAAGGAAGTAGTAGCAATAAAGTCAATTACAATAAGGGTAAATTTTGCAGCATTGTTCTAGTGATTTGCAATGTTCTACTTCCTAAATCCTTGATTTTGTTATAGAGCATCCTGAGATGGTGAAAAAAATAAAAGGTGATCACCCCAAAAATTCAGTTGCAGATTTGTCTGCAGAAGGAGCACTAAAAGGCTGCAAACCCAAAGAAGCTAAATCAAGCTGTAAGTGAACTGACTTAAATAATCATTAAAAAAAATGGACTGCATATACTGTTTTAAACGAAGGGTTGGAACCTTTGGGTTCAAACAGAGATCCAAATGCCTAATATTTACTTTTAAACACAAGAGAGGATACTGTAGAGTAGGCAGTGGGAAAGAATTAGCTGCCCCTCCCTGGGGGGGGTTGATCTAGATAAGGCAGGCTTTGAAAAAAGGTATTTATTATGTAGAACTTCTTGTCTCTGTTGGTAGATGAGGTCATTTTGGCTTCAGTGGGTCTGAAAGCAGGCATTTGGTGTGTTGATACTAACAAAGGACCCAAAAAGTAGATTTTTCCTCATACAGTATGTTCATTATCTTTGTATAGTTCCAGAAGGACTCACCTTATCCTTAAAAGCTGAAGAGAACTTACCTCAGTGTAGTCCTCCCAGTGCTTCTTCCTCTGTTCCTGGTGCCACGTTGCAGAGAAGTACCAGCTCATGGATGCCAGCTCAGCCTGCAGCCTCTGAAAATCCAAAGGTGTCTGGTCAGCCTTCATTGCCGGCGCCTCCAGCTGGTCCCAGACTGATTCAGTCCTCACCCCCAGTACGCTCCTTGCAGAGCACAGCTCCTGACAGCTCTTCTGTCCCCACACACCCAGTGTCCGCTGAGACGTGTAGCCTTGCAGGGTTACGTCGTCGTGCTGGTAGCTACACCATTGGACCATTTTCCTCTTTCCAAAGAGCTGTTCAGATCTACAGCCAAAGATTGTCCCAAATACCCTCTGCAAAAGTAGGTGAGTGTTCTGGGATTGATGATAACCTGCTAGTTCAGTACAAAGACTGTGTAATTTCTGTTGTGAAGTAGGTAGAAATTTTACATTTCCAGAATTGAGTCTTGTTCAATGGTGCTAAATTTCTTACAGAAAGCAGGAGTACAGAATGCTGTCCTTGTTAGGCAGATGCCCTTTTATTGACCAAATGAACAGGCAATCATAAAATCATTTCAGTTGAAAAAGAGTTTTCAGATCACCAAGTCAAACAGTTAACCATGTCCCATATTAACCAGGTCTTGAAGAGCTGCATTTACATGTGTTTTAAATATCTTCATGGTATGTGACTCAACCACTTCCTAGCAGCCTGTTCCAGTGCTTGACAACCCTTTTGGTGGAGAAATTTTTCCTAATATTCAGTCTAAACCTTCTCTGGTACAACTTGAGGCCATTTCCTCTTGTCCTGTTGTTTGCTACTTGGGAGAAGAGGCTGACCCCTGCCTCACAAAAACCTCTTTTCTGATAGTTGTAGTGATAAGGTCTCCCCTCAGCCTTGTGCTTTGAACTCAGCCTTTGAACTTGTTCAAAAAGAGCTGTGAAATTAAGTATTGTATATTTTCTTTATCATGTTACTGATCTCATCTATCTTTAGTGGGTTTAATGTTGTTTTCATAAGCAGTCTTGTCTCAGTCTATGTGCTGTTCTCAGTTCTCTGGTTGTAATGAAACCTCATAATTGTTGAATACTTAAAGATGTGTCAAGACCTCCAGAAAAGAAGAATCTGTATCAATCATTAAATATCTCTCGTTCTAGGGTGTTTAAGCACTGCCATATCCAAGGGTATCCCAAAAACAAGATTTAGAGACCTCTCATCCTGTGGTAGAACTTAGTTAAGCAATGCAGCTTTAGAGTGTAAAAAACCTGAAGTGTAGGAGAAACTGTACAAATTGCAAGCAAGCCGGAAACCAATTGGAAACCTTGGGAAACAAAAAAAAGCCAAAAACCGGGAACCTGAAAAAAACAAATTTTTTTTTTGTACTTTGATCATATTAAAATACAATTTGCTTCCCAACTGAGCAGCTTACTTAAAGCAATCCATTTGTTTTTAAGGAAAAACTTTACAGATTTAACTTGGGTAACAGCTGTCAATGTCTCTGGAATTGGATGCCATTAGAAACATTGCAATAGAGAGAATACAGATTTGAAATTGCTAATTGTTAATTTGGGCAATACCTATGAAGAATAGGTGTATTCTGTATTCTTCTTGGTGTCTTATCTGCTTTAGCATATCTGAGATGAGCAGGCTGAGGGTCTGACATATGGCTCACGAAGCACATGGAAATGTTTGTTTGGTAGGTCTCCAGCGTGGTTCAAATGGGCAGTGTGTGAGCTCAGCCAGGATGCACAGAGATGCAGAACACACTGCCCAGGGCAAACATCATGGGCCCCGTGTGGCAGCAGCAGCAGAACTGCAGCAGTTGGCAGAAAAGCAAGCAGCCTGCCAGTATTCCCCAGCAAGCCACCTCAGTCTCATTACACAGCAGGTATGTAAGCGCTGAAGTAGAGTCCCTGTGCAAGGGACAAGTTTGTTACAGGCTTCTGTGTGAGCACTGGGCTGGGCTGAGAGATGCTGCAACCACTAAATCTTGTGAAAATTCATCTCTGTCCTGTTGTTTCAAAGTGTTTACAGTCACCAAAATTTTGCCTCTCTGTGAGATGACAAGAATGTCTTGAAGTCATTTTATAGGAGAATAGGCAGAGGATTAGAAAATGTTACAAAAAATAGAATCTATGTTTTGTCTTACTAGACAATAAACCAGAGTCTTCTCAGATTTGTGCTTCCATGCAGTTTGCTTCCTTGTTCCTCCAGTGTGTCACTAGTGCAGGCCATGAAAGTCTGCAGAATGGGTTCTGATGTAAATTCTGTATTCCAATAACAATGTAAAGACCAAATGGAAGTACTTACTATCATACGAAATGATAATCCTTTTGTCAAACGTGGTGATATATAATTGAGTTCTGACAGAATTGCACTTGGTTTCATATTTCATGTTGAATTATGTCCTAAATGGCTACATGGTAACAAATTTTTTGCTTTATAATATGCTATAGTTGAACTCATCAAAGGTGTTCAAGTTGAGCACTTCTCAGTTAATTAAGCTGCCAACTGCTGATTTTCTAGTATAGGCACTTTGGCTTGGATAGTAATTTTTTTTTTTCTCTTTACTTGCTGGATTTGTCTTAGTTTTATTCTTGTATTATAGAATTACTGTTTTAACAGTTATGTTTTGCTGAGTTTTCTGAGGTATGTTTTATAGTTGCAACAGCTGATGGTATTTGCTTCTCTTTGCTTCTTCCAGTTTTATTTTTATATGTTTGGATTTTGAATAACTGGTTATGCTATTGGTAATATATTTCAAAATGTGGGTACATGTATAACTTTAGGAACCTGAATAGATTTTTCTTTGCAGATAGCTCTTCAATTTTTAAAGGGTATGTCAAAAAATAAAGTCGCTTCTTGTTGATGGACTCTGGAGACAATGTGAGCACTGGCTATACTAGTGGTGCTGAGGCCTGGTCTGGCATGAGGCTAGATCCTATTTAGACAATTTGATCTTGTTTGCTTGTCTGGTAATACACAGAGATATCAGTCTGGTTCTCAGCTGGTTTTAAGTGAAATGTTGTCATCAAAACTGTTCAAAAACTTTGATAGTGAAACATTTTCTTTCAGGAAATGCTGATTTGTTGGAAGCTAAATACATGATGGAAACTGACTCCTTGGATAAAGGTTACTATCTAAAGAAATACTTGGGGGAAAAAATTTGAAATGCATCTATTCCATTTCAGTCTTTCCAGAGAAGAACTTTGAAAAATAAGTTCATAGACTTTTTTTCCCTAAAATCATTCATTACCCATTCTGCTTCAACTGTTGTGGTTTGTTAGGTCTGTCTAGAGAACCCAGTGTGTTGTCTTGCAGCCATTTGTGTAGCTTAAATGATTTTTAAACTCCTGTATTCTTATAATGGCTTATTACTCCTGGATAAATAAAGAAGTGGGAATTAAGGGGGGAATTAAGAAAGATCTGCATGGGAAGGGCAGTGCAGTTTCCTGAGCACAGCAGTGTTGCTGTGTTGAGTAGCAAAGGAGCATACTCTGGCATCTGAAACATGTTTAGCCAGCAGTCAGTCAGTGTAGGTATACTCAAGCATGAAAGTGGCTGTGAAGTGCATGGGTATCATGGAAATGTACTGGCTGCAGTGAATGTGTCTGCATTGCTTTTACTGCTGGGTTCTTCCAAGATGCTTTCCCAAAGAAGAGGTGGGAATTGGATAGTAGGAGAATGATGGTGCTAATTTGCTTTGCAACAAGCAAACAAAAGATACTCAGCTCCTAGCAGACACTGCTGATTTTCTGACTCTGCTATATTTTGTATTCAACTATGCAGTGTTTGCACAGGCTGTGTTTCAGTAGTGAAATATAGAAACATGTGTTGGGTTATATCTTTGTCATCTTCTGTCATCATGAAAGAGATCTGCATAGAAAGGAATTCACAAGTCAATGAGGAGTTTAAAGCTGGAGTTCTATCTGACAATGAGTTTCCTTCCTGAGCCTGTGTCCATTCAGTTATAGACATCTGCTCTTTACTGTGATTTTTCTGGCCATGTTTTTAAAATAATGATTTTGGAGAGATGAAGTCTGAATCTAAAATTTGCTTAGTATGAAAATTTGGATATAGTTGAGAACAGTTTTTAAGGTAATCTGTTTCTTCAGTACTGAAATAATTGCACATAGCAATTTCTAAGCTGAGACCATTATTTTTAAGCACACTTGAAACAGTGATGTTTTGGAAGGTTTAGATGTAGCTGCAAAACCCAATGTATCATAATTAAAACATGCAGTAACTGCTTATGCTTTTTTTGTCTTTTGCATGGACACATTCTACTCTTCTGTCAATCATTAAACAGTCATTCCGATTATTTTTTGATCCAGCCTGGATGTTAAATCCTGTCTTGCAGGAAGGGCCCAGGGGTTTTGTGAGAAGAGAGGGCTACAATGACAAGAAGGGCAGTAAGAGGTATCAGCATACAATAAAACATAATAGTAGGGCAGCAAGGCTTGGCTTATTGTTGAGGGACCTGAAACCAGGATATTAGACTTTGAACTGCTAAGCATGGATGTGGATTGGAAGCAGGGGCATTGAATAAATAGAAGTGTAGGAATTGCAGAGTAGGCTGGCAGTTTGGAAAGTGATTTGCAGAAGAACAGGTACTGTTCAAGCTACCTAGGACTGTTGTATGGTTTTAGATTTGGGCAGACCAGGATTTGGCCTGAACCAGGAGGAGGGAAGGCAGAGAGATGAGATGGAGAAATATGTGGGAAAGGATTTAGTAAACACCTGGAGGGAACTGGAAAGTCAAAGACTAACTGGTATGAGATGAAAGGGGGAAAGGCTTGAGATGGGAGTGTTTGAGGGTTCTGGGTTATGAAACTCTGATGGCTTTAGGACAAGAGAATTAACAGATGGAAAACTGAGAGGAGAGTAGAGAAAGGGCTCATATCAGAGTTATTTAATTAAACAAGGCACTACTTTCCAGTACATTTCTAGACAGGAAACTCTGAATTGTTATTTTCACCCTTTTCACTTCTGTGTTTAAACCACTTGAAATACGATAGTATTTTTAAAAAAGCATTCTTAAATAAATTGGCATGAAGATTAGAACATTGCTTACCTAATAATAAAAAGAGTACAATTGTTTAAAGCCATTCCAGAAACTTGGAGTTAGTCTACCTTGTTGGAAAGTACCTGGCTGGTATGAAAATTACTTGATATATGGATTTAATTATGTTTCATGATAAGATTAGGACCATTGATTTGGATGTGGTATATGAAAGAGTGACTTGAAAATACCGGTGTTGCTGTGGACTGTGTTTTTATGGGGGTTTTTGGTTTGTGCGTTTTGGTTTTTTTCCCCTCAAGGGCAAGAACTTCTATGTTAGAGTTGAATGCATTGGTTCCATGTGTTGTACCAAGCTGTGTCTTGTAGACTGGGGTGCTCTAAATACATACCTCCTTCCAAGAGCAGCTGCGAAGCTTATTTTCCATTCCTGTTTTTGTGAGAATTGCTTCTGGTATCCATATAGTAGTGTGGGTCTCTGGGGTTCCCAGGAATGTAGCCTCAGCAGCTGTGCTTGCAGTGATGTTGTCATTCTGGTTGGGAATCCATCTCTGTCCCTCTCCAATCCCTCCTATTCTTCACTGTTTTCAACCCATGCCCGAAGCACCTGTTTTGTGTTTCCTCTTTTACACTCTTGTTTTCTAGCCTCTGTATTAAAATAGTTTGTTATTGAGTTATTTTCTATTGGCATAATTCTATTGATGTTACTGATACTACTTTATTATTTACTACTAAAATAGTAATGCCCAAAGGAAAAAAATTAAGTATCTGATAAAATTTGAAAAAGATGTTTAAGATCTATTCTCTTAAGAAAATAAGATTTTTGTGTTTACCTTGGCTTTCTGTCTTGTCAGTCCTTTGCATTCATTTCTGAAAGATCAGATAGGAACTTCACACTGATACTCATACAATATACAGTTCTTAGCATATGAGAGATGAGGAAGGTAAAGCCTTACTGATGTGCAGTTTTGTTTTTTTGTACTCAATTTTCGGTCCTCACAGTTGCACAAAGTGTGTAGGAACATTTTGCCTGTCATTAAGTTGTTTTTCTGCTATTTCTCTTTTTTTTTTTCTAATAATGAAGCTCATTTTGAGATTATAACAATAGTAGGAGTAAGGTACCTCTATCCATACTATCCATACTTTTTCAGATATAGCCTGATTTTTGCAGTATGTGCAATCTAACTATAGTACTCTGCAGCATCCAAAAATAGAAAGGTGTGTCTCTTATTAGCTACCCAATGTGTCTGGGAGCAAGCAACAGAGATCTCTATGGTAAATGTGCCTTTCAGACTCCAGCATCAACCTCGTAAGGCAATGGCTGAATAGTCTAATAAGGAGGTATCTGATCTCCAATGGCCATAAGAAATTGAGTAATCTATTATGTCCTATCTATTAGAGTTTTTTGAACTGAGAAATACAACACTCAGTTTAACTTGTTTGTATTCAAACTTCCAAAAAGGTTTTTGACAAGCTTTCAGAAAGGGCTGTTAAGATGTCAGATATCTGTAGGATGATAAAGGAAGTTTTATTACAGGGCAAAAAAGGGCAAAAAGCAAACAAAAAACTAGTCAATTTGCTATATAGCAAGGGGGTAACTGAAGATACATAATACAGAATGTGCATGATCCAGTGTAACATTAAAGGTTTGAAAGGAGGACATTCATAAGGACATTTTTAAGGCATTTTATTACTTAAAGAATGAATTTAAAAGCAAGTTATTGCCAGGTAATATAGGGTGTGAATTTACAGGAAATTAACTATTCTCTAGTGTTCATCCATGTTTGTGCAGCTCATGTTTACTACATGAGGTAATTTCTTGCTACCTTCAGTATAATGTGGGCTGTGAGAGTCCCATGTTTGGTTAC